CACCACACACCACACACCACACACCACACACCACACACCACACACCACACACCACACACCACACACACACACTCGCAGGTCCGCGCGGATGTCTCTGATCGGTGCTGGAGCCCCCCTCCCTGGCGCGCAGGGGCGGCGCCGCAGCGCGCCAGGGAGCGGGGTCCAGCGCCGATCCGAGGCATCCGCGCGGACCTGCGAGTTTGGTGTGTTTATGGCATTGTCTGTCCCCCTCTTCGAGGGTCCTGGGCCTCCAGAAGGCTCCCGGAGGCCGAAAACGACGAACAGCGCCATGTTTTTGCTGTTCAGCGCAGTGGAGGTATGGGGATGCGCGAGCCCTGAGATTCGACGTTGCCAAACCAAAGTGCAACATCGTGAAAAACAACACGAGCAGAGTCCTAGACCGAATCTTCTTGCCCGGCACTTGTCGAGCCGCATCGATCTGTATTGGTCCCGGGGCCCACAATCGTTAGAGGGCCAAGCCTACCTGCTTCAGGAAGACCAACATCTGGGGTCGATGCCAAGTTCCGTTCTCACGTCCTAGCCAAAAGCGTGTCTGTGCACAGTGGGTGCCGTGACGTCCACTGACACTTTCGGGGTGGATGCGTCTACGGAGAACGTCAACGTGGCCGTTGCGCTCGGCGCGGTGCAAGGTCGGAGAAAGGTTAGATCCATCCATGGGATGCTCCTATTCTAGAGCAGGTCCCACATGCTACTCCAACGCAATCGGGCTGAATCGCCCAGCGCGGCAGCATTGCAACGCCAGGACCTCAGGGCTGGGAGGGTGGGCTTGTGTCGGCGTCCCCCCAACGTACCAATGCTATATGTGCGTCGCCCCCCCCAGGGGCGACGCACTCTGCGTCGTAGCGGGCGTTGTCTGGCCACACCGCTCGGGAAACGAATGCTACAAGATGGGTCTGCTGTGTGTTCGGGCCGGACGCGCGCCTCCAAGGAGGACGTGTGGTATTAGCATGTCCTCGTGCGTCCCATTGTGGGGCTGTGGCGCCATGGCCCACTGCACATGGAGACATATCAGCAAGGGCGCCCTCGAGGGCGCGAAATTATTCGCGCTTCGCGCTTCGCGGTTCGGCTCCGATTCCTCCTCATCCTCCTCTTCTCCCCTGGGAGGCGGCGCGAGAGCGCGAAGCTATTCGCACTTTGCGCTTCGCGCAGCGCGAAGCGCCCTCGGCCTCCAGGGAGAGGGTGGAGGCCGCACCGCCCTGCCTGCTCCAGCTGCTGCCAGAGGTGGTCCGTGCGAGGGCGGGATGTCTCCTTCTTGGAAAAGCGCCATCAGCACACACGCCGGTCGTTGAAAGTAGGTATTTTTGGATTTCCAGATCCCAATCCACTTCAAGCGCCTTCCTACTTGAAGAATCGGCATGATTTTGCTGTGTTTTGTTATTCTCTGGGAGGGCCTGGACCCAATCCACTTTATCCGCCTTCCTACTTCATGTTTTTATCTACTTCTTCCGACCGACGTGTAAGTTTGTGGCGCCAGCGAACAAGGAAGCGACTCAAGATGAAAAGCCGGCCCGAGGGAGACCCGAGGCTTGACGACGTTTCTCTCGAAGAGAAGACATCGCCAGAAGCATAAACTCCTGGCGCTCCGCGCGGATTCCTCGGATCCGCGCTGGGCCCCCCTGGCGGCGCCTCTGGCGCCGACACTGGCGCGAGTCCAGCGCAGATTCAAGAAATTTGCGGAGCGCCAAAAGTTTATGTTTGTGCAGTTGTTTCTTTTTGTATTCTTCTATCGACTGGTGGGCACCGACGCCCAACGTATTCGAAAAATGCATCGCGCGCCAGGGAGGGGGGTCCAGCGCCGATCCGAGACATCCGCGCGGACCTCCGAGCTTTTCTGCGTATGCCACTTTTTGTCCCCCTCTTCTGGGAAGGCGGAGGGGGGCTCCTCGGCCGTCCCCGGAGGCGTCTCTCAAAGAAGGCCTCTCGGGAGCCAGGCGGGCTTCCGAGAGGCCCTCCCTGGAAGCCCCTGCGCCTTCTCGCAAGGCCGCCCCCTCCGCGCCCCCCCCCCCTCCCCCCCCCCTGGAGGCGCCGCCGAACTGGAGGCCCCGGGACGTCACGAGATTTCGGCGCCTCCCCGAGGAGGGCGCCGCGTCGACGGAGGGCGCGCCGGCCCGCGGCGGCGAGTGAGCGCTGGGGAGCCGACCGTGCGGCCGCGGCTGCCTCGGGCCTGGGCGGCGCCTGGTCGGAGGGGGGCTGCGGGCCTGAACTGGGGGTGAGCAGTGTGGGTTCGGAAGGGGCTCGATTCGGCGTCACCCCAACACACTTCTGCTACATGTGCGTCGCCCCCCCCCCCCCCCCCCCCAGGGGCGACGCGCGCACCGAGAAGTCTCAGAGTATGTGCGTCGTGGCGGGCGCTTTCTGGCCACACCGCTCGGGAAGCGATATACTACAAGATGGGTGTACTGTGTGTTCGGGTCGGACGCGCACCTCCCAGGAGAACACACGTACTAGTATTAAGTCGGGCCCGTCCCTCTACAGGGTGGATGTTGAAAAAATAGTCAACAAAGAATCCAAAATTGCCATTCAGGTTAATTTTCTAGTATTTCTTATTTTTCGTCGAAAATCCCCCTGTAGGGGGACACGCCCGACTTAATACTAGTATGTCTCTGTGCCTCCCGTCGATGCTCCCCGGATCCTTCCGTGGCTGTTCCTCAGCCCCCCCCCCGTGCGCGCAGGCGCCCGTCGGGGCCAAAGCTTGGGGCTCCTGCGCTTCATTTTTTAAACATCGTTCCTGCTTTTTCAGCAGCCCGGCTTCAGGGACGTGACGATCAGGAGGGACAAAAACACACAGACACAATTAATCGTCGATGTGACATGGGAAAATCTGGGGAGTCCTGTTGTCTGTGTGTATCTATCTGTGTGTCCCAGGGCCCCTTCATAGATCTGGCCCTCCTAACTCGGGTCCCGTCCCAACAGCCTAGGGGAAACTTGCTTGCTGATCAGATCCTCAGCCGAGGCAGCCCGAGGAATCCTGGGATGTGTGCCCGTCTGTTTGCGCGTGCCCCTGGGCCCCTCTAGTCATCCCCGCCCGATGTGGGTGTCTGTGTGTATCTATCTGCGTGTCCCAGGGCCCCTTCGTTCAGGGGCGCGGCGACTTCTTCCCCATCGACTTCCCAGACCCCCTCGCCTCGGGAGCCAAAGCTCAGGAGAGGAAAGAACACACACACAGACACAATTAATCGTCGATTCCCAGGAAAATATGGAAACATGTGGGAAGTGGGGGGGAAGACAAAAACCCAGGAAATATGAGGAAATATGGGGAATATGTTTATTTGTGTGTATTGATTTGTGTGTCCTGGGGCCCCTTCAGAAGCCGCGGCGGCAGCTGCCTCGCGAGCTGCGGCCCCCGGGGGGGGGGCCCCCGCCCGGCCCCGGGGAGGCGAGCCGGGAGCAGGGGCTCGGCCCCCCCGGGGGAGGCCCGGGGCTCGACGGCGCCTCCCTGCTCCCTCGGGCCGGGCGAAAGGGGGGAGTTGGCAAAGGGGGGGGGCACGACATCTGCTGCACGCAGCTGGCTTCGGCCTCGCCGAGGAGCCCATGCCTCGATGCATTGCCGCCTCCGCCGCCGGGAGGCGCCGGGAAAGTCAGCCACGTGAGCTGATTCTCCCCCCCCCTTTGCTATCCCCCCCTTTCGCCCGACCCGACTCTCGAGGGTGGGCAGACCTCCTACCCTGACACGCCGATTGGTGAATCGGCCGTTCTCGGTTCGCGAGAGGGCGTCGCGGCCGTCGTTTTTGCGGGTCCAGGTCCGTCGGTTTGGGTCTCAGGCCGTTTTCATTGAAGGGTGGTTTACTAAAGGGAGGTTTGTCCACCGCCGATTCTCTGGAAGAGGAAACATCGCCATACGCATGAACTCTTGGCGCTCCGCGCGGATTTCTTGGATCCGCGCTGGGCCCCGCTGGCGGCGCCTCCAGCGCCGCTCCTGGCGCGCTCTGCGCGCCAGGTAGGGGAGTCCAGCGCAGATCCAAGAAATCTGCGCGGAAAGCCACAAGTTAATGTTCATGCATTTTTTCTTCTTCTATTCTTCTGTCGACTTGAGAGGACCGACGCCCACCATATTCGAAACATGCAACGCGGAGATGTTTCGTCGTCTTCTGGCCTCGGGGGACCCTCGACGGGCCTCGGGGCCGTCAGAATTTTTTTCTGGATTCTAAACCAGCCTTATGCAAAGTGTCGGGACTTCAGGAACCCCCTCTTGAGAAAGCTTCACATCGGATCGCTGGAGATCAGGCCTGGTGAACCGAGGAAAAAGAGGTGAGCCCAGGTTGACCGAGGTAGATCCAGAGATCCCAGATGAGGTCCGGAGCAGCTCGTGGGAGTCCCAGCGCGAGCCGATGCACGGCGGAAGTCGCTGCGCTCTCAGCGAGGAGGCGCCACGGGCATCGGGCGCCGCCAAACCCCGGCATCCGACGATACAGCCGTCTCAATCCTGGCGTGCTTCGTCGACCTCGGGCCCGTCGTCGGCCCCCCAGGCCATCAGGCATGGCTCGGGGATGGAACAGCTGTTCCCGAGGAGGAGGAGGAGGAGGAGGAGGAGGAGGAGGAGGAGGAGGAGGAGGAGGAGGAGGAGGGAAGGGGTCTGTGCCTCATGGGCCGATCACTGAAGGAATCGCATCGTCGGATGTCTTGGGGGGGCCTCACGAGACCTGAAGGCTCCCCGTGGGCTCAACAGCGGCGCGCAACGCCTGGGGCACCGTGGGCCAGGATGATTCAGCACGCGAGGGTACCATTATGCAGGCCGTCCAGATGTGGACGGGGTCGAGGGGACCTTCGGCTTCATTCATTTGTGGCAGCCCACGACGGTGCCGTTAACCATGGGATGCGGTTATCGACTTCTCCCCGTGACGGCCAGGTTATATCGCTTATCGCCCCTGGCAGTGGTATCCCGCCCCCAGGCCCCTCAGTGCGGGATCCCAGGCATACGTGGTGCGGTATACGTGGTGCAAGGAAAATGAAGCAAGCTTGTTGGTGTAAGCCATGTGTTGCGAGCTGCGGGGTGCACGCTATGTGTTACAATCAAAGTGGCGCAAGCTAGATGCAATTAGTTAAGCTATGTAGTGCAATCTACGCGATGCAAGCTAGGGGACCCAGGGCGACGCGGGCGTTCAACGCCGACGCCGAGGTTGAACTTCTAAAAGTACTTCGTTCCACTATTGCTGAGGATGGAAGAGGTGGGAGATGTCGAAATACGGGTGCTAAATAGGAGGTGTCGAAATGGAGGTGCAAGGATGGTGATATCCCTCGGGAAGGAGACTCCCTCAGCACAGCCGATGAACCCCGCATGTCCATTTCGGCACACCCCTCACTCGATTGTTGGCCCCATAGGGGCTCCACCTAAGGCCCTGCTTTTCTCGGCCACATGCGGCCCACCACCCACTGCATGTCCGATTCGGCACACCCCTCACACGCTTTGTGGCCCCAGGCAGAGGCTGCACCTTAGGCTCCAGTGGCAGGGTCCACATGCGGCTCCCCGCCAAGCGCGTGTCCATTGCACGCCTCTCACCCTTCGCCTCCCAGGAGGGCTCCACCTGAGGCGACGCTGGGTGCGGCCACATGCGGGTCACCGCTCACTGCATGGCCATATGCCGGCACGCCCCTCACACGCTTCGTAGCCCCCAGGGAGCCCACCTCATGCCCCAGAGGCAGGGTCCACATGCGGACCCCCGCCTGCCGCATGTCCATCCCGGCACCCTCACACGCTTCGTGGCCCCAAAGGGAGCTCCACCTGCTGCCCCTGTGGGTGCGGCCACGTGAGGCTCCTCGCCCATTTCGGCGCACCCCTCACACGTCGTGTGGTCCCATAGGGAGCCCCACAGAAGACGAGCTCCACAACTGCGGCACTCACAAGTGCATGTGGTTGGGTCCTTCGCCAGGGTAATTCAAAATCCGAAGCGGCCCCTCAGAGGCTGAATTAGACCGGAATAATAATTACCCGATACGCGAGGCGACTCTATGAGTGGATGCTCCATGCACAAGAACACATCGCGAGATATGCTCAATCTGCGCTGCCCTGCACTCCGCCGTGAACCCACGATAGTGGCGACCGTTGTGCAGTTCGTAGCCCCCGAGGGAGCCGCGAGGTCTCGAAGTGATCCGCGGTGCCTTGCGCTCCGCCGTGCCTCCCAGCAGCCCATGGAAGTGGCGACAGTTGTCAGTTTGCAAACCCCTTAGGGAGCCGCGAGGTGTCGAAGTGATCCGTGCTGCCCTGCAGCCTGCCGTGTCTCGCAGGAGCCCGCGAGAGTGGTGACAGCTGCGCAGGCCGCCGCCCCCGAGGAGGCCGCGAGGTCTCGGAGTGATGTGCGATGCCTTGCGCTCCGCCGTGCCCCTCCCAGGAGCCCGCGAATGTGCCAGCAGCTGCGCAGGTCGCAGTCTCCGAGGGAGCCGCGAGGTCTCGAAGTCATCTGCGCTGCCCGGCACCCACTCCGCCGAGCCTTCCAGGCCCACGAAAGTGGCGACGGTTGTGCAGTTCGCAGCCCCCGAGGGAGCTGCGAGGTCTCAAATGGACTTGCGCTGCCCTGCACTCCGCCGTGCCTTCCAGGAGCCCGCGAATGTGGCGACCACTGTGCTGTTCGCAGCCTCCGACGGGGCGCACAGGATGCAGGGGAGGAGGAGGGATGGGGGTGGGGAAGACGCGCGAGCAGTGCTCCATTCGAAACCAGAACCCAACACTGGAGGGTTGGGAAAAGCATGTGTCGGGGCTCAAAAGACAGCTTACCGCCGGGAACCTCGTAGGGCTCCTCACACGCATGAGAGCGCTCTCAGTGCAGCTGGGGCATCAGCTAAACAGCATTTTGAGTTTAAGCGCAAAGTCAGTTCCGCCAAGAGTTTTCATAGTAATACAGCAACTGGAAACCTAACATTTCACCAGCGACCGAAAAACAACCTACTCCAGATGCAGAGAACCTTCAGTTTCGCGGGGGTCAGTGCAGACGGGGGTCGGTCAGAGCGCCGGATCTTGCAGGCTCATGCAGAGCCAGGGTCGCATTGACCCAGGCATGGGTGCAGGATCATGCTGGCTCCTGCAGCACTCTGCAAGGCCCGATTGGCCCGGGTTTGGATTGACCCGGGTCAGTAGAGTCAACCCACATGTCAAAGATGGGCAACCTTCCCAAGGGTTCCCTTGCATCCTTGCCTCCTCGGCCCATCCTTGGCCACTTTCGTTGGCCGCGCCCCGCTGGAAAAGCTCCGAAATGGGCGTCCAATGCCCTTGGCACCCTTACCGCGCATCCCGATGACAAACGGGTCGACCGTAGGTCTCCGAGTGCTGGAGACCTGGGCCCGCGGCCGAGCGAGGTCGTCGGCACGACCGTGGTCGACTTCGACGCGAGCGCCGCGCCGGCGCCCGCGCCGCCCCGAGCCAAGGTGGGGGAACGAAGAATGACAGGATTCGCTGTCCACGCCGCCGCGGCCTGTGTCCAATCGAGACAGAAGGCCGCCTGCCCAACAGCGGCCGCTGTTGGTTTGGGACAGCATTTGTTGTTGGGCATTGTGACCATTCTTTCCGTGCCCATTTCGGGCGGCCAAAAAAGGTGGGGGAACGAAGAATGACATAAGCAGCAAAACTCGGAGGTCCGCGCGGATTTCTCGGATCGGCGCTGGACCCCCGTCCCTGGCGCGCGGAGCGCGCCAGGGGCGGCGCCAGAGGCGCCGCCAGGGGGTCCAGCGCGGATCCGAGAAATTCGCGCGGACCTCCGAGTTTTGATGTTTACGTCATTCTTCTCGGAGGTTGATGGCCCTCCTACCATGACACGTCGATGAGCGAATCGGCCGTTTTCGGTTCGCGAGAGGGCGTCGCGGCCGTCATTTTTGCGGGTCCAGGTCCGTCGGTTTCGGTCCTAGGCCGTTTTCACTAAACTCAAACTTACTACAGGGAGGTTTGTCCACCGCCGATCTTCGTTCCCCTACACAGGGGGTCTCCAGCGGCGGTGCGGAGGCTCGCGGCGCGCGTGCCGCCGGCGGGCGGCCCCTCGCGGGAGCCGAGAGGGCGCGGTGGTGGGGGCGCACCAGCCCGCGGCGCGCACGAGGGGTGGGGGCCGTCCCCAGTGCGCGTCTGGTCCTCGGCGAGGGCCTTCGAGGAGCCTCTTTGGGGCCACCTTGCGGAGAAGTGCAGTGGAGGTCCATGCCAAGAAACGCCCTGCTCGGCCGCCGGGGTGCCCTGGGCTTCTTGGGTTCCGATGGTTTTGCCATGGAAGGCGTGACCTTCCCACACCAAAAGTCAGTGCGTCCTGGGAGACACCGTCCAGCTTCCCGTACTTACGGGAATTCGCAATTTTGTTTTGATGGATCGTGCCCGATGTTTCCAACCGGCACGACCTCCACTCAAAGTTGACTTCGGCCTTCGCAGCTGGGGGGGCAGAAGCTCGGCGCTCCTCCTCTCCCTCCGACTCCCCCTCCCCCATCCCCTTCCGCCCGTTCCTGCCTCCTCCCTCCCTCCCCCCCGTTTCTCCTTACGCTCCTCGCTGGCGCCAGAAGAGGCGCCCCCTGAGGCCCCTGTCGAATGGGCGCGCGTGGAATGATGGGGGCATGTCCTCATTGCGTTCCATCCGCTGTCAGCTCGGCGGCGGCGGCGGCGGCGAGAACACACAAAAAAAAAAGTCAGTGCGTCCTGGGGTTGGGTTTCTTGTGAAAGGTTTCTTGTGGTCGGGCTTCCACTGTATTGGCGCAGGAAGCCGACGAATGCATAGGGAATGGGCGCCGGACCGATGGCAGCCGCTGGGGCTTCTGGGGGAGCGCCCCCGGGGTCACGACACGTCGTTCAGTGGTCGTGGAAAACGCCTGCGGCACTGGCCGCTGGGGTCTGCGGTGGAGCTTCCTGGGGGGCCACGAGACACGGTGTAGTGGGCTCGGAACACGCATGCGAACGTTGCCTCCAGGGCCTTCGGCGGAGCTCCCAGAAGGGGCGGCGAAACGCTGCACGGGGCGGGCGTCGGCCCGGGTGCCTCCGGCGGAGCTCCCCACGAGGCCACGGAGCGCTGCAGTGGGAGAGGCGCATGCGAACGGCGCCTCGTGGGGTGCACTGGGCACATGAAGCGCATTCGTGCGCCGCGTCTCTGAAGCCTTCGGTGGAGCCCCCCCCATGCAGGGCACGCGAGACGGCACACCGGGCGGGAGAAGCGCGTGCGAACGTCGCCCCCAGGGCCTTCCGTGGAGCCCCCAGATGGGCGAGGCAGGCACCGGGCTTCTGGGCCCACCCCGGGGCTACCTCGGGGGAGGAGGAGGAGGAGGAGGAGGAGGAGGAGGAGGAGGAGGAGGAGGAGGAGGAGGAGGAGGAAAAGACCCCTTGGACCCGTCAAAGGGGCTCCTCGGTGGCCTTGGGCCCTCCACGTGGGCTCTTTGGGGGCCCGGGGCCGTCCGCCGGGCTCCTCGGGGGCCACGGGGAAGATGCGCAGGGCGCTGAGGCCCTGGCCGGGCCCATCCCAGAATCGGTGCTTCCGGGCACTGTGCCCAGTACTGCTCCAGCCATACTGCACCCCTTAGCTTGCGCCGCTTCAATTGCACAACATTGGTCGCACCGCAAGATTCTTAGGCTTACGCCACACCGCCGACCCCTTGTTTATGCCAATCTGGGGGTAATAGAAGCTGCGAAGGGGTGAAAAGGCGAGTGATATTTGTTTGGTGTCTGTTCGCCGCCACCGCCAGAGGGTCTCGGGCAGTTCCGCGGGGGGGTCCGAGCGCACGGCGACACCGCGGGCGGTCGTGGTCTCATCTGGGGCCCTCTGAGAGGCATAATGGAGCCAGGTTGGGCTCGGGAGTGTCTTCGAGCCGTTTCGGTAGCGGTCGGGAGTTTTTTTGGGGGACTGCAAAGGAGTCATGATGGGTCAACTTGGCCATGTGCGAGGCCACGGCGCGTGCAAAGGGTGTGCTGGCATGGGGTATACTTGCATGCGACGGTTCCCACTGGGCCCCACGGTGGACGTATTCTGGAGCCACGACACGATCGACGTGTGTGTGCGCGTGGGGTTGGAAGTTTACGTGACCGCGGGTACTGGGGCTATGGTTGGAGCGCGCCGTGGAGCCGCGAAGTGTATGAGGGACGTGCCCAATGTTGGCGGTGGTTAATCATCGATGAGATCAGCATGGCGAGTGCGACCTTCCTTGCGGAGTTGGACGCGCATTTGCGGTCGGTCATGTCGGCGGCGCGGCAGGGGAAGGTAGACGCCGAAGGGGTGGACAGGCCTTTTGGAGGGGTGAATGTGTTGTTCTGTGGGGATTTCTACCAGCTCGAGCCGCCGGGGGGGACGCCCTTGAACGCCATCCCGACGTCGTGGGTTCGCAAGGCAAGGCAGTACGCACCAAGCGCGGGAGAGGACCATGGGCATTGCATATTCTGGGGCGAGGGTCGCGGGTCCGTAGCAGGAATGACCGAGCTAGTGGAGTGCAAGCGGTTGGAAGGTCATGACGAGTGGTTCCTCAGTGTCCAGGACGAGTTCCGGCGCGGGGACCTGAGCGAACGGACGCACCAGTTTCTGCACGGCCTACCGACGGACGTAGCCGGGTCGTGGGTGGGGTGTGGGCCCACGTGCGGGTCGGACCACTGTGCGAAGAACGCAGAGGCCATTGCCAAAGACAACACGCAAGAGTGCGGGCGTTGTGCAGCAGAGCGCCGGAGACGGCAGTTGGTCGCAACGGGGCCCGATGACGAGAGGTTCTTATTGCCGGAGTTCGTAAGGGCGACCGCGATTTACCCGAACCAGGATGTAAAATGTAAAGTCGCACGTCAGCGCGCCGTGGACTGGGCCGCGAGCGAGGGGAAACAAATTTCGTGGGTGTACGCGAGGGACGCGGCGCGTCATGGATCCCTCCAAAAACGGCCATACACGTCTTCTGACAAGATCCGGTGGCTGGGATACCATGATAAAGCATGCGCAGATATGCCAGGGTGGCTGCCGCTGGCGGCGGGCATGCCCGTTGTTCTGACGGATCATTTGGATAGGGGAGAGAAACAACTGCTCCGCGGCTGCCACGCGACGATTCACTCATGGGTAGTCGACGAGGACGAGGGTGCCGTCGCGGACGCTGCAGAAGTCACGATGCGAAGGATGCCGCGGCAGATCGTGCTCGACTTTCATACGGACGCGTGGGCGCTGAGGTTGTATCCGATTGCGCCGAGACAGCGAGTCTGGTTCTTGGACGCGTACCGAAAGAAGCCCGCGTTGGGGGCTCGGCGGAAGCAGTTTCTGATATCGCCAGGCCTGGCAAGCACGGCGCACGCAGCGCAGGGCCGATCGTTGGACGCCGTCATCGCAGATTTGCAGGAGGGTCGAAGTGTGAGTTGGATGTCGAGTTACGTGGCCATCACCCGCGTGAAGACCCGTAGAGGGTTGCTGATATATCGCCCGTTTGAGTTGAAGCCGCATACGCAATGAGAGATGGAAGGGACGAAGTATCTGCTGGGCAAGTTGCGCGGGGAGGAGGTGCCGTGGGCGGACATAGAGGCAGAGTTGATGCCCCGTAAGATGTGCAGTAAGTGTAGTACCTTGAAGGAGAAAGCGGATTTCACGCCCACATAGTTCAAGGAAAAGGAGGGGCCGAGTTTCTGTCGAGATTGCACGGGAGAGTTGAAGGAGGCAGGCGAGAAGTGGTGCACCGAATGCAAGACGTGGGCCGCGATGGGCCCGAGGGCGCCAGAGAACGAGGCTCGCGGGGGGCGAGTGCACGTAAGGGCGAGCAAGTGCGAGAGATGCGCGGGACCTGCGAAGGCGCGGAAGTCACGGAAGGAGTCGGGGGCGTGGCAGGAGAAGGTGCAGGAGAAATTCAAGATTCGGCGCGCGAAGTGCATGAATTTCTTGAAGACGGAGGCGGAAGTGGCGGCGAACCAGTGCGACTCCAAGGGTGCGGGGGAGAAGCTTTGCAGGACGTGCGCGCGCGACGCGAAGGGCGGGGGCGACGAGTTGTATCGCAAGCGAAAAGCAGAGGCGGAAGCGAAACCGCTAACTTGCGCGGCGCGCGGGGAAGAGTTTTCGGACACGAAACCTTTGAAGCAGGGGCAAGTGGAAGATCATCGAAAGGCGAAAGGAGCCAAGGTGGTGCGCGGAGGCTGCAAGGAACTCGGGTTCGCAGCGCGCAGTTGCCAGGCGTATCAGTGCAGCGGCGCGTGCAAGAGAAGACTACCGAAGTCGGCGTTCTCCGGGAACCCTGCAGCGGGTGACAGGCTCTGTCGGGAATGCGCGGAGGCGCGAGAGGACGAGGTGCGGCGGGGCAATGCGGAGGCAGCGACTCGCGCGCGGACAGCCGGGGCGGACGCGAAGCCGCTGACGCGCGCGGCGTGCGGAGGAGCGTTCTCGGACACGAAACATTTGAAGCAGGGGCAAGTGGAAGATCATCGAAAGGCGAAAGGAACCAAAGTGGCGTGCAGAGGCTGCGAGAAACTCGGGTTCACAGCGCGCAGTTGCGTGGGATATCAGTGCAGCGGCGCGTGCAAGAGAAAATGCCGAAGTCGGCGTTCCCTGACCCTCCCAATGTCGCGCGCGACGCAAAGAAGGGCACCCTGAAGTGCAAGGCATGCAAACGATGACCAATCGGGCGGGGCGAGAAAGATGGGGGGTGATGCGGAGGATGGGAGGGAGAAGAATCGAGGAGGAGGAGGAGGCGGAGGAAGAGGTCGAGGAGGATGAGGATGAGGTGGGGGAGGAAGACGAGGAGGGAGACGAAGAGGATGTGGAGGAGGATGAGGGATGAGGTGGAGTATGGGATAGAGGCTTCTTGTATGTGTATCGGGATCTCGCGGCACGCCTCTCGGGGGCCTATGGCAGGCAGTTTGGAACCACTTGGGGGCCCAGGTGGAGGAAAAGGAGGAGGAGGAGAAGGGGGACACGGAGAAACGGCTCTGGGTTATGGGTTATGGGTTAGAGGCGTCTTGTATGTGTATCGGGATCTCGCGGCACGCCTCTCGGGGGCCTATGGCAGGCAGTTTGGAACCACTTGGGGGCCCAGGTGGAGGAAAAGGAGGAGGAGGAGAAGGGGGACACGGAGAAACGGCTCTGGGTTATGGGTTATGGGTTAGAGGCGTCTTGTATGTGTATCGGGATCTCGCGGCACGCCTCTCGGGGGCCTATGGCAGGCAGTTTGGAACCACTTGGGGGCCCAGGTGGAGGAAAAGGAGGAGGAGGAGAAGGGGGACACGGAGAAACGGCTCTGGGTTATGGGTTACGTCCTCGGGGGCCACGGGGAAGATGCGCAGGGCGCTGAGGCCCTGGCCGGCCCATCCCAGGATCGGTGCTTCCGGGCACTGTGCCCAGTACTGCTCCAGCCATACTGCACCCCTTAGCTTGCACCGCTTCAATTGCACCCGTTGATCGCACCGCAATATATATATATATAATATATATATATATATATATATATATATATATATATATATACATCGGGATCATACGTATATACATATATATATACACATATATATATATATATATGTCTGTATATATATATATGTATATATAGGTGTGTGTATATCACCACATAAATAGCACAACGTAGATTGTACCACGAGGGCGCATACACTCCTGGGCCCAGGATGTGCTTTGGCCGGGGCCGGTGCAGTGGAACGGTTGGCGTCTTTCTGCTCTGACCTCAATCGGTGAGGGATTGCGTCGTAACCATCCGCCTTCCGAGACACCTTATTGCAAGCCTCGTGAGGCTTCTTAGAAGGCGAGAGGGCTTTTTCGAGGCGGCCCCCTGCATTCTTAGAAGGCTACTCCCCTCCCTCAACCCTTTTGTGCGCGCCGCCAAGAGAGCCCACGGGAGGATCCACGAGAAGAAGCAATACACCAGCCCGACCCCCCTGGGGCAATGATCACCTCCAGGGGCAGCTGTGTGTACAAACTTCGCCTTCCAATGGGCAACTTTGATATTTTTGTCTAGCCGTGGTCGGCAAAGTGTCTCGATGCTTAAGGCAGCACCGACCGGCCGTGTCCAGGGCACGCTTGTGGCCAACCTGCTCCTGGGCGTCGCCTGTGCCCCCCCCAGCCGCAGTGAATTCGCGCTGATGGCGCTGCTCTGCGCCCCAGTCAGCTTTTTGGGGTGCAGTCGCCAGATCCGTCGTCTCAGACGTCGCCGTCGAGGGACCTTCGTCGAGGCGGCTGCGGGCAAAGTGTGTAGTCGCGCATGGGCAGCACGGCAGGATCCGATCGCTTCCTCCCTTTGGGTATCCAAGCGCGGGCGGCCCTCGCGTCGCTCAAAAAAGGACTGAGGTCGCACAGAGGGGGGGGGTAACGTCGACGCCCGATCGCCTCCAGCGGAGGCCCATGCCAAGAAACACCCTGCTTGGCCTCCAGGGTGCCGTGGTTTTATTGGGTTTCGACGGTGTTCTGTCTGTTGTGGCAGGCGCGACGCTCCCACGCCAAAAGTGAATGGAGCGTCCTGGGGTCTCAGGGTTGGGTTTCTTGTGGCAGGCTTCTTGTGGTCGGGCTTCCATTGCATTGGCGCAGGAAGCCGACGAATGCATGGGGCATGGGCGCCCGAGCGATGGCAGCCGCTGGGGCCTCTGGGGGAGCTCCCCCAGGGTCACGACACGTCGTTCAGTGGTCGTGGAAAACGCCTGCGGCACTGGCCGCTGGGGTCTGCGGTGGAGCTCCCTGGGTGTCTTGTGGAAGGCTTCTCGTGGAGGAGGAGGAGAAGGAGGAGGAGGAGGAGGAGGAGGAGGAGGTGGAGGTGGAGGAGGAGGAGAGAGGCGGAGGAGGAGGAGGCGGAGGCGGAGGCGGAGGCGGAGGAGGAGGAGGAGGAGGAGGAGGAGGAGGAGGAGGAGGAGGAGGAGGACTCCCCGCCAGTCGGGGCCCCTGGGCCTGGGCGCCCCGCACCGCCCAGGAGTGGCCTCCGCTCTCGGGGATCGTTTTTTTGTCCACTCCCCCCTAACCACCCGGTGGTGTTTTGCAGGGGCGCCCATCGAGGGCGCGAAGTCGTTCGCTCTTCGCGCTACGCGGTTCGGCTCCGACTCCTCTTCGTCCTCCTCTTCTCCCCTGGGAGGCGGCGCGAGAGCGCGAAGTTGTTCGCACTCCGCGCTTCGCCCAGCGCGAAGCGCGAAGTTGGGAGCCCTTCCTTGTATTGGGTCCTCGTCTGGAAGAGACGGCGCCCCGCGTCACCCCTCCCGCTGCACCCTCCCCCCTCGTCTCCCATACGTGCCCCTCCTCCCATCCCTGCCTCCCATGGTGCTGGGTTCTCGTTTTGAAGAAAAAAGCGCCCCGCGTTCGCCTTTCCTCCTCCTCCTGCTCCTCCTTCTCCTCCTCCTCCTCCTCCTCCTCCTCCTCCTCCTACTCCTTCCTACTCCTTCCTCCTCCCCCTCCTTGCTTCTGCCCTCCGAACGTTCATTTCGGCACACCCCTCACACGGTTCATCGCCCCATAGGGAGCTCCACCGAAGGCCCCAGTGGCCCCGTCCGCATGCGGTTCCCCGTCCTCCGCGCGTCCATTTCGGCACACCCCTCACACGGTTCGTGGCCCCATAGGAGCTCCTCTGAAGGCCCCAGTGGCTGTTTCCGCGCGCGGTTCCCCGCCCACCGCGCGCCTATTTCGGCACACCCCGCACATGGTTCGTGGCCTTATAGGGGGCCCCACCGCAGGCCCCAGTAGCCGCGTCCGCATGCGGTTCTCCGCCCACCGCGCGTCCAGGAGGGGGAGGAGGAGGGGGAGGAGGAAGAGAAGGAGACGGGCGAGGAGGAGAGGACCTTTTAGGGAGGCCTGTCGAAAGATGGACCCAACGCGGCACCCACAGCTGCATGTGGTTGGGTCCTTCGTCAGGCTAATTTGTTTTTCTCCGCTTGGTAGATCTCGACGACCCCGGGACATCCCCCGCGCGTGCTGTGAGGCGTGGCAGTCGGCCTCGGTGCTCTCCGCAAGCAGGCTCTCGGCATGGATCCAGGCCACGTGTGCTGGCTGCCATCGAAGGAGACAAAGCGCCACAAACATGAATTTTTGGCGCTCCGTGCGGATTTCTTGATCCGCGCTGGGCCCCCCCTGGCGGCGCGTCTGGCGCCGCCCCTGGCGCGCCTGGCGCGCTCCGCGCGCCAGGGAGAGGGGTCCAGCGCAGATCCAAGCAATCCGCGCGGAGCGCCAAATGTGTACGTTTATGTTTATGCCGTTTTTCTTCTTCTATGCCATGCTCCTGGAATGCCCCTCCCATATCGGCATGGACATCCTCGGCTGCTCGCGGTGTGATATCGTACGGGATCTCGCGCCTCTTGGCTGTGTGGCACACCCATCCGATCACATCTGGTATCGTATTCCCCCCCGCTGTGGACCAAATCAGTGGAGCGGGAATATGCGTTCAACCATGCAGTCAACCCGCATAGTAAGGATAGGCAACCTTCCCAAGGGTACCCTTGCATCCTTGCCCCTTCGTCCCATCCTTAGCGACTCTCGCTGGCCAACCTCGTTCAAAAAACGCTAACGTGGCCCTCCAAGGCCCTTGCATCCTTACCGCGCATCCTTATCACACGGGTTGACTGTACTGGGAAATATGTCGGCACACATTTGCGTAATTCGTGCCTATCACAGGGGTGCGGCCTTTTTCTGTCTAATCACAAGTGCAATGTTGCTTGCTACTTTGATTGCCAGGGCGGATGTGAGTTCGAGGAGTTGCTGGACTCGTGTGTCCATCGTCGCCTCCTAGGATTATGTCGGGCACGTCTTCTACGGGAGGAATAATCAGAAATATTTAAGATGGTCTGGGGACGATATTACAACTATTTGTGACTATTTTTGGTTATTCCTTTTGTTGTTGCAATTTTCTCCAATCAGTGCTTGCACTGAAGGGGTCCTATCGGATCTTGAAGGATTTTTCGAACGTGGGCGGCCGCTTCCGGTAGGCGGCTGGGTTCCTGGGTTCCCGGTTCCATGTTCCCAGGTTCCCGGCTGCTGGTTCCGGGCCTATTTCGGTTTGTATAGATCGGTCTCACCATCGATCTCATTACCCATTTCTCTATCAATCTCACAATCGATCGCACAATCGATCTCACGATAGATGTTACAATTAATCTCACTGTAGATCGTATGAGCGACCTCACGATCGATCTCACTATGGATCTCAATGGATCGATTTCACTAAAGGTCTCAAGATCGAACTTACTATCGTCCTCACTATCGATCGTACTATCGATCCCATTATCGATCTTTCACAATCGATCTTTCACAATCGATCTCAGTATCCATATCATGAATTTTCAAGCCACCCACTGATTGGGATTTTTCTCTGATGTAATTCTATGGTTCTTCCAAAATTCGCCTGCAGGAGTCCCCAATGCACGCAGACGTCTTGGTCGCCGAAGAGTACCCGACAAGAGTTGCATCAAATTTGCTCGAATGCCCGCTGTGGGATGGACCAGGACATTCGGAGCAGCAGGCTGCAAATCAGCTGTGTTCGGGTGTTGGGTTGCGGGACGTACAGCTTGTGCCAGAGGCGGACATTCAGGAAACAGAGTCGGAGCCTTGATCGAATCCGTAGCCATTTTGTCTCAAGGACCTCGGGGCCAAGCGTGCCTCCGTTCGCAGATAGGCTCCGCAGCGCTCCTCTTCCAGCAGGCGGGACCCATTCCGCGTGGCCGCATGCCGCCGCATGCGACGACGCCCTGTGGGCCAGCGAGGCGTTCCGTATCAGCTTCGAGACAACATTTTTCGAGCACGGGTTCAAGTTCGTTGGCGTATTTCGATATGCTGAGGTAGGAGGTATTCGACATCTTCTGCTTGGTTCTCCTTTACAGTGAGCTCGGGCATGTCCCCCTACAGGGCGATTTTGGGCGACAAATTCAAGATCCCCCCAAATATTCCAAATAGCAGACAGATGCTTGAAATCGTCCCACGACTATCTTTGAAAACTACTTTTGAACATTCCTGCTGTAGAGGCTACGTCGAACTCCTGAAGGCCTTCGCTGGGACCGTGCCGGAGAGGGCGCTGTCCCCCTTTCCAGGTCCCGACGTGCTCCAGCTGGGTCCTCCGTGCAGGCACGTCCTCCGCACGGCAGCGCAGCCCACGGGACTGCTCCTCTTCGAATGCTGCCTCGGATGGTGCGGCGTGCATTTTGTCGGGGGCCCCCAATCGGGGTGGTGACACACCGTGCGGTGAGTCGGTGGGGATTCGGGGTCCCCGCACGGTTTTGGGACTCGGGCCGTTCTCCGAGGACGTCTCGGGCGGCTGGGGCATCCGAGGTCCCAAGACCGTGCGGTGACGGACCGTGCGGTGAGGTCTTGGGGGATTTCGAGCTCACCGCACGGCGGTCTGTCACCGCACCTTTTCGGGACTCCAAAATTTTAGCGGCTGGTGCAGCACCGACCAGAGGCTGAAGCACTGCTGGATCAGCGCCCTGGACTTGTCCACGGGCAGAATCGCGATGCGGGCGACGGCCGGGGACAAATGTGTGAGGTTGCTTGCGAACGCATTCGGCAGCCTGGCTGAACGTCGCTGCGTCGATCAGGCTAAAGTTAGCCCACGACGTTGCACATGGGGCGTTGTTGTCACACCGTCGTGTCGCAAACCGCGAGCTAGCGTATGGCTGACGCTTTATTTCCAGGCCCCTTGCTTGTTTTGGCAGGACCAACCTAGGTAGTGGTAATAAATGAATGCAGTCTTTGCAAACTGTTTGTTGAAACAACTTCGTTGTTTACCAACTCACTTGGGGCAGTTTTCTCTAGACGGAGATCTTTTCACTACCACGACCAGCACGTGACTGTCGTGTTCAGTTTCAGGCCCTTGGCTCTCTCCGAGAGGGCCTCACGCAGCCCCGATGCCTCTGCTTTCAGCCCTCCCCTCCGGTGCCAGGTGCCCGCGGCAAATCTGCGGCCCTCCCCTCCGCAACCCTCTGCTCCTGCTTCCGACCAGGTGCCTCTGGCCTACCCGCCCTTCGCGCCAGCGAAGCACTGTGCGTGGCGACGCCTCGGGCACCGCCCGGGAGGCCGCCACGCGTGACCTGCCGCCTCCAACTCCGCCTCTCCACGGCCCGCCACTTCTCCAAGTGCTTCCCCCGATGGCGCGGCCTGTATGTCAGCAGTCGTTGGAGCGGCGACCAAGCTTCGGCCCGTCGCGAGAGGCCCTCGCGCATTACAGTCGGGGCCGTGAAGAAGGAACCCTTTTCGTTGGGGAGGGGCCTCGTGTTCCTTAATTGTTTCGCAGCTTGCCTCAGGTTTTCCGTATGTTTTCGATCGGAAATCGAAGTTGAACTTATGGAAAAAGGGGCCTCGTTCCTTATTTAGG